GGTGGGAAGTCACCAGCGCGTGTGTCACCGTCGCCAGGCAGTCGTACTCCAGGTAGGGGCGCAGCTGATGGATCAGCCGAAGCTGAAGGAAGGCGTTCTTCGCCACCGCTGTCACCTGATCTTCCAGTGAAAGCTCCGGGTCGAGGAGCACTCCCAGGCTGCGGACCTTGTCCCTAAGAGGGAGTGCAACCCCATTCAGGACTAGGTCAAATCCACCCTCTCCGAAGCCCAAACCGCCTACCAACAGGACCTCCGTCTTGTCTGGATTGAGCTTCAGTTTATTGGCCCTCATCCAGCCCATTGCCTCGGCCAGGCACCGGTTCAGCACAGCCACTGCCTCACCTGGGTTAGTTGAAAAGGAGAGGTAGAGCTGGGTGTCATCAGCGTACTGATGGTTCCGCAGCCCACACCTCCGGATGACCTCTCCCAGCGGCTCCATGTAGACGTTGAATAGTGGGGGGGGAAGCGTGAGAGCAGCTTGCTGTTCAACAGAAGCTGCAGCAAAAGTGCCCCCCTCCCCAGCCAGACCCTGTTTTCTTCTGCATACACGCACAGCTGCTCAATTTCCCCTGTGCTATTGTTCCGACATTCGTAACATGACTTTAGAGTTGTTTGCATTTGTGTCTCCTTTCTAGATTCGTGGCAACTTGCGTGGTAAAGAGCGACAGAACATTTTTTAAAAATCACTAAAACACACATTAAAAACAAAAGGACTAAAATAATTGCAAGTATGCTGAAATTGCGGGCATATGCGTTACGGCAGAATAGGACTGCCCTCCCCTAGAAGTTGGTCTCTGTACGGTGCACCCCAGTGTGCTACAGATGGAAAAATTACTGGAGCCAGCCATTTCTGCCGTAAGTTCTGAGCGTGCCAGCCCTCTGCAGAGCATCTTGTTTGCCTAGAGTTTTAGAAAAGAACAGAGGTTTAAATAGCACCAATTGTACCCTCAAGAATTAATTCTTCATGTATGCTGGAATGCTAACTGTGGCTTCATTTTCCATTGCTCTGGAATGCAGGCATGTGTCTAACTATCTTACAGTCATGAAATGGGCTTAGAAAACAGACTCCGCTGAAAGCCTTGCAGGATCTCTGTTTATCTCTGATCCTGACAGAAGGTTTTCCCTTCACAGGAAATGCTTGGAATGTGGGTGGTTGGAGAGGGAAGATGATGCATTAGCATGAAGCGATCGTGGAAATTCATGCCGAAAAGTAGTTGCAAGCGGAGCCGGAGCCCTGAGTGCGCTGGCAGGATGAGGCACGGCAGAGCGGCAGAGGTGCTGTTGGCCGGGGATTAATTGGCCAAAGGTCCGTTTCCCGTTTCAGTGCCAGGCTTTGCCTCAGGTGATGTCTGCAGGGGCGAGGAACGAGGATGCCCGAGTCGATTCGGAATAGATTTTTCCTTGTCACTGTCCTATGCCACCAAGTTATCTCTGACTTACAGTGACCCTATGAATACAGGCCAGCCAAAGCATCCTGTCCGTGTCCATCGTGCTCAGATCTTGCAAAGACATTTTCCCTGACACTGGCAAAACAGGGACTGGGCTCCCAGCTCCAGACCTGAGGTCCAGCTTGTGCCTTTCTAGAAAGGAAGCATCTCTGCAGACATTCTGGAACGTGAATGGGACGATCTCAAGGTGCAAGAGAAGATGGGCTGAAGGAGCGGCCAGTGTTGGACTGAGCCCCCAGAGGTCCACATGCTGGTCCCCACTTGGCCTTGACTGGGTGACTTCGGGCCAGCCACTGGCTCACAGCCAGCCCTACCTCACGGGGGTGTTGCTGTGAGGAAAAGACGGAGTGAAGGATTACGTCAGCTGCCTTGGCTTCTTTCTAGGGAGCAAAGGCAGCATAGAAACAGATCAGAGTGCTTCAGCCAGCAAAATAAAATTGTAGCATTTATTTCTGGCCTCAGAAAGAAGAGTGCAAGGCACAGAAGCAAGCACTTCTTCATATGTGCTAAGCTGTGCATGATACTGTGGGCAGAACCCTGGTGTCTCGGGGTGGTTATGTATGGAAGACCCAACCCAAAGTGTTGGGGCTGAAGACTTGGACTCGGTGGTTCAATCAGTGTAAACGTGCAGGATTTGGCAGGCACATGTAATATCCTCGCGCTGGTCTCAAGCCCAGCCAAGCTGAAGAGCAAGCCAGGATAACTTGTGACACGTCCAGGATCAGAGGCAGCATCCTGATGCACACCAGATGTCGGGGAACATGGGTGGGAGGGAGCTGTTGCACCCGAGTTGCGACTGGGATGCTGTGGGCAGCCAGTTGGTCACCACGACAGGATGCTGGATGAGATGAATCCTGGGCCTTGCCTGCCATGACTCCCTTTACGTCAGGGGTCTCAAACTCGCGGCCCACGAGATGATATTTTGTGGCCTCCACTTGATATCAAAGCTTAGTGATACTGCGGCCCGCACGTTTTTCTCACACGCACCTGCGTGAGTCGTTACCCTGGGCGCAATGTTCCCTCTAAGCTTGTGTTACGGAAAGCCCAGCTTTCTCAGACAAACCTCTGCCATTTCCCAGCATGCAAGGCACTCATGGATTCTGGCACACCATTCAGCGGTGAGAAGTATGCTGATGCCATTGTAAAGCTACAGGAAGAATTTGATCACAGGTTTGCAGATTTCAAGCCACACAGAGCCACTTTTCAAACTTTTGCTGACCCCTTCTCCTTCGATGTGGAAAATGCCCCCCCTGTGCTTCAAATGGAGCTAAGTGACGTGCAGTGCAATTCTGAACTCAAAGCTAAGTTCAGGGAGGTGAGTGGAAAAGCAGACAAGCTTGGACAATTTTTGAGAGAATTGCCCCTTACCTTCCCTGAGCTTTCCAGGATGTTCAAGCGGACCATGTGCCTTTTTGGGAGCACCTATCTGTGTGAAAAGCTCTTCTCCACCATGAACTTTAATAAGTCAAAGTTCAGGTCCAAACTTACTGATGAGCATTTTCAAGCCACACTGAGGGTCTCAGTTGCTTCCTCCCTCAAGCCAAATGTGGCTCAGCTGCATAAGAGGAAGCGCTGTCAGGTCTCTGGCAGCAAGGAGGAGGAGGAAGTAAGAGAAGCCTATGTTCTGAAGAACCGTTCAAGTTCTGAATTATTATTAGTAAAGATTGAGAAGACTGGATCAGTTGTACTATTTTTGGAATACTTGACATCCGTTTTTTGTGGAATACTTGATGCGGCCCAGCCTCACCCAGACTCTACTTCCAGCGGCCCCCAGGTAAGTTGCGTTTGAGACCCCTGCTTTACGTCTTTACACAATACGGCTCGTCTCGTTCCAAGGAAGCCGCTGCACTAAACCACATGTTGTTGGGCTGCGTGCAGCCTGGTGGGCCACAAGACTGCACTGGCTGCTTGTAGATAATTGTTTTAAAAGCCCCTTAAAATCCACTTGCTTTTCATGGCCTGCTGAAAAATACCTTGTCGGCACACTAGTCACTTACACATCGGCTCTGTGTCAACGGCGTGTGCTTGTGCAACTAGAAATGGACGTTTCTAACCATTGTGGTTCCAGACCTGTCTGAATAGTGGGGAGTACCATGGACAGAATATTACGTACATCGGTGCAGCTTAAAAAACATGGCTGTAGTGCTGACATATCTTCAAATCACTGCTAAACCGAATGTCGTCAGCTGCAAGATGGCCAGGCCTGGTTACATGTTTTTTCTTGGATTGCCTTTGTATTTATATGGACAGGAAAGCTGCCTGCATTATCACTGCCTTTTAATAGTACATGTGTCAGTCAGG